TGGTTCATGGCACTTTCCACCTCGGAATGGGTGGCGGACAGTCTATCCGTATCCTCTGTTGGAGGAGCACCCGACGCACGCCTTGTACTCGTTCCCACCTCTGAGTCCGGCTTTGGAGCCTGGCTTGTGGAGGCGCGATTGGTAGCCTCTCCGGGCATAGTCCGGCGAGCGCTCTTTTTCCTGAAAAGAAGGCATGGGCGTTAATATGCCTCTGTAACTAATGTCTTGCAATAAAGATGGCGCGCCATACCGCTGCACCGGTGCCTCAATCCGGACTACGGATCTTTTCAGCCTGCCTGGCCTAGCGGCCCCTTGTTGGCTAGTTGCCACAGGCTCGGCCTTCTGCCCCGAGGACCTCCCCTGCAAGACACGACTGTTATACAGCAATGAAAAAAAGAGCACAAGGACGGATCCCTCTTTAAGTGCTGGGACTCCGGTCTCAGTTACTTGTGAGGCTGGAACTAGCCCAGGGTAATCGGCCGTAATGGCCACCAAGGTATTGTCATAACTCCCTTGGTAAAAAAAACCCCGTCGATCAGCTCCACGGATATGTCCGGATCCTCCTGGGAGGTCAGGTCAAGGGACCATCCAGGGTCCTCGGGCTGTGGAGGAGGGCTGTTTATCTCCTTTACGGCCTGGCGCAGCTCCTACGATGAAATCGCCAGAATGAATACTTAAGCTACAGGAATACGAAACGGATGGGCGAGAAAAAGTCTCCGCTTACCCAGCTCGGAGGATTGTACATAGAGAATCCGCCCTGTGGGTTGACACGGAGGAATTCCTCCTCTTCTCCCTTGTACAAAGTGGACAAGATCTTTGTTAGATCAGCAGCCGATCCCGACCCTTTCGGCCGTGGCCAGTGGCGTCATCCTCCCCGTGGAAATCCCACATGGGGTGGCCTCTATACTGGAGCGGCTGCACCCCCCGCATAATGCATATAGCCATGACTTCGATCATGGTCAATCCAGATCGAGCTAAAGAGCTTATCCAGCTCATCAGATAAAGAATGTCCCGGTCGTCTTCCTCCAGGGGGCTCCGTGGACGCCAGCTCCGGCGCTTCTTCAAAGGGGCGTTGTCAAACTTAGGAAGGCCGATCCGAATAGGGTCCAGAAGGGGGACATCTTCTATATAAAACCATTCTGAAGGCCAGTCTTAGGACATCTTCTTCGGGGTCCCGGATAGGTATCCGGTCCCAGCAATACGCCACTCTTCGGCTCCACCCACTTGATATATTGATCCCTTCTTAGAACGGGGCACAAGGCAGAACAACTTCTTCCACAGAGCGAAATGAGCCTCACAGCCCAAAAATAACTCGCAAAGGGCTACGAATCCCGCGATATGCACCAGGGAGGCAGGCGTAAGGTTGTGCAGCTAGAGGCCATAGAACTCCAGAAGCCCTCGGAGAAATGGATGAATTGGGAATCCGAACCCTCTTACTAGATAAGGGACAAGGCACACCCGCTCTCCCTTGGAGGGATTGGGGCGGCTCTCCGCTTGCTCTCCGCCATTATAGGTGGCAAGCCCGGCTCGAACCGGGACCAAGTACGCTGGGGGAAGAAATCCCTTGGACTGAAGCATCACCAATTTGTTGTGCGGGATGGAACATCTCTCCCAATCTCCAGGCTTGGAACTAGGGGTGCGAGAGGAGGAGCTGCGTCGACTGGCCATGGTGGAATGGATCTCTGTGGGGTATGCTCCGATGAAAACTCGGCAAGGGAGGATGATGTGATTTGGATCTGAATCCTCGTCTTTTTAAATAGGCGGCTCATTTACATAGCTAGGGGGTAAATGTGAAAACACCCTGGCTCTTCACATTCGCTCGACACGTGGAAAGTGGCCATTCTTGGGCGTAGAAGCCAAGGAGTACAAACCGTCACAAGGAACCGGACATTATTTCGACAGGTACACAGAATTTGGAGAAGGAACCCGCCTTGCAATGCCGAAGAAAACTGCACCGGACTCATCGTCATTGAAGCCTGGTTCGGTGGCTACTGAGGGAGTCCTGGATTAGGGGGTCTCCGGACAGTCGGACTATCTCCATTGGCCGGACTGTTAGACTATGAAGATACAAGATTGAAGACTTCATCTCATGTCCGGATGGGACCCTACTTAGCGTGGAAGGCAAGCTAGGCAATACGTATATGGATATGTCCTCCTTTGTAACCGACCTTGTGTAACCCTAACCCTCTCCGGTGTCTATATAAACCGAAGGGTTTTAGTCAGTAGAACAACAATCACAACATACAATCATACCATAGGCTAGCTTCTAGGGTTTAGCCTCTCTGATCTCGTGGTAGATCTACTCTTGTAACACCCATATCTTTAATATTAAGCAAGCAGGACGTAGGGTTTTACCTCCATCAAGAGGGCCCGAACCTGGGTAAAACTTCGTGTCCTTTGCCTCATGTTACCATCCGGCCTAGACGTACAGTTTGGGACCCCCTACCTGAGATCCGCCGGTTTTGACACCGACACCAAGTAACTCCATGAAGGCCTTCCACTTGACAGTGAGCAACTTGCCATTCGTCATCCAAGTCAGAGTCCTTTCTTCATCAGTTCCAAGATGGACAGTGGCATAGAACTGACATATCAAATCTGCATCAAAGTCCTTGTTGAACTGCATGATTCTGAGAATGTTCAACTGAGTGCACATCTGAAGGGCTTCACCAAAGTACTCATGGTCCTTTTCCATAGGATCAGTGTCGATGGAACGAACATCAACAAAGAGATTCTTCTTAGCCTTGATCACATCAAAGAAGATGGCGAACTAAAAGCGGTTCCAGAACGGGCGGTTGACCAAAGTGGGGTCTTGGTCTTCCTCATAGGGGTTGCAGCGACGCCTTGCCCAGAACTCCTTGGCAGGCATCTCAGTCACAGTCTTCCCCTTTGGCTTGCTGGCAGATTTCTTCAAGAGCTTTGGAGAACTTAAGGAAGCACCCGCTGGCGGCGATGGAGCACTTGAGGAACCACCTGCTGAATCAGATGTGCGGTAGCGCTTTGACGTTGCATGACCGGGGTTGACACGGTGGACCTGCTGCTCAGGATGATCATCACCTGGAACCAAACACACGAGCAAAAGAAACAAAACGAAAGAAAGAGCATAAGCCACCAAACAAAACAACATGGATCAAAATGTGGTAGGAAATGATGGAACTGTGCATCCAACGGTAGTACCACGACCCAACCGCGGCAGTACCGCTTGGGCAGTAGTACCGCTCAGGATGGGCGGTAGTACCGCTCAAGACGGGGAACGGCAGTTCCCTACTACCGTGGACAGATCCGGCACTACCGGAGATGCCAAATTCAAAAATAGGCCTACCAAACATCAATCCAAAGGGCCTAGACGCCAGCTCCATCCTACTCAAGCCTCGACATAGCCAAAAGACAAGAAAAGCAATGCCTATTGCCCCTAAAAACTAGATGCAAGATCTAGGCAAAGAGAGAACGGGAGCGGGGACAATACCGACATCCATGGCTAGAGGACGAGGTGGGGATCGACTCCACCGGAGAAAATGGAGAGGGACGGCACAAAAACGGCGGCCGGCCAAAGACCTCCTGCGGCGAGACGTTGCTGGAGCGACGAGGAAGACGAGCGAGTGGGGGCGAATGGGTATGGGGGAGAAAATAACTCCCCATGCCCCAACATAAACCCCCATCGCCCACCCCGCAGTGGTAGTACTGCTGGGTGGGCGGTAGTACCGCTTGACACTCATCAGCGGTAGTACCACGCACACAGTGGTAGTACCGCTCAGCCGCAAAAAGGACTGACCAAAAAAGGCTTAGCTCAAGAAAAGAAACCGAGAAGAAACCGAGAACAAACACACACACACACACACACACACAACCAACAAAAGGGAACGAGAAACACACACCTCTCCAAGAGAGGGCGGTGACCGAGGCCACATATGTTTGAGTTCAGTGGCATGGCGCCGCGAAGATTTTAACCTTGGGCCCATGACCAACACTCATCTTTGAAGCACAAGTACCATCAAGAAATGGCTAATGTGAAAGAGTTTGATTAGTTTATGCATTAGGGGGGGGAGTTCATTGAGAGAACAACACTCCCCCTATGACCATGCCTACACCTAAACTAGACAACTAGTTGAGAATGGTGTGGTGTGCAAGGGTTCAAGTCACATATAGAGTATTTGTTTATATGAAATATTTCTAAAGTTTCTACATTTCATAATTATTTGCAATATATTTATCTTTACCTTTCAGAAATGACCAGTCCCGAAGAAAATGTTGACCGGATAGACATTGTATGAACCATTATACTGGCAATTTATGTGGCGCAAGGGGCCAATCCATTTGTTATCGACAATGAAGGATCTAGAACTTTTGGAATTGGTTTAGGGACTGAACTTAGACTGTAATAACGAAACAAAACAAAAATCTCTTTTACCCCTTGATTTATCTTTTGTTAGATTTTCCAGCTTTTTTCAAACCCTTGATCTGGAGTAAAGTTGAAATTGAGAGTACGTCCAGACTTATTTTTGGTGGTATTTTTATGTTGATCTGAAATATGTTCATCTCACAGGGTAATGCATATTCTGTTGATCTTTTTTCTAGATGCACATGTTGACTTCCAATAACATGCATGGTACTATGGTAGGTAGTATTCTTCTTCTTCAGATCTACTAATTATATATGTAGATTGCAGCTGTTAATCTGACCCAAGGGGAAGCACACGCACACGCACGAGCCACGTCTGACTTGAAAGAGCGATCAATCGTTTATGCGAATATCATAGCTTTTAATATATATATATATATATATATATATATGAGACAAAAGAATATACATACATGTTACAAAAAGATCGAAAAAATCCCCAACTTCAGATCAGAATTCAGAATGCAGACGAATAAATGGCAGGCAAATCAAGCTACGTACACGCGCAATCCGATGCAGCTTGATGCCATTGCCATATGCAGCCTAGCTGAGATCGACGCGGCAGTACGTGCGAGGTAGTAGCGAGCTATTGATCAGGTGAATAATTAATAGCCGAACTGCTGGTTGCTGGTGAAGGTCATGCCGAACCCCCACCACGCCGGCACGAGGTTGTACATGTAGAGCGTCTGGCCGTTGGTGGAGGTGACGGAGAAGGAGATCCCCTGCCCGACCAACGGCGCGTTGCACTGCCAGTTCGCTCCCCAGTTCCGGCTCAGCTGGATCCAGTCCGTCCTCTCCCCCTTGATCGACACCGACCGGATCGACCCCGGCCCGCCCACGTTGGTGATCAGCACCAGCTCGAAGTTGTTGAACCCTCCCATGGTGAACCTGATCCCTCCCATCTTCGAGCACCTCACCCTACACCACCATCAGGACATGGCGACATGCTCATTATATACTACACTCATATAAGATAATGGAAGGAAGAAGAAGAAGTTGTGTGGGCACTCTTCACTTACTGCTGGTAGAGGATGGGGACGATGCCGGCGCGGTAGATGGCGAGCGTCTCCCAGGCGGGCTGGGACATGTCGAAGTGTTGGCGCGGCGGGTTGCACCAGCCGCCGTTGTCGTTGGCGAGAGCCCAGTTGGGAGGGCAGAAGTTGGTGGCGGTCACGGTGATGGACGTGCCGGGCTTGCACATCGTCGACTTGCCGGTGTCGCAGGTGATGAGGTAGCACTGCCCGCACGACGCGCCGTCGTTGAACAGCGCCGTGCTCAGCGCCGCCGTGTTGACCCCGTACCCAGAATTGTACAGGTTCCCGTACCCACACGCGCCCCCCATTGTCCCGGAGCCGTCGGCGCCGCCGTAGAACGTGGCCGTTCCTGGGTACCACCACGCCTGGGCCGCCGGCAGGAGGCAGCCGGCCGCCGCCAGGACGACGAACAGGGCCAACATGGATCTGGCCATCTCAGCTGAGATGAGATGGGCAGTGAGCACTAGTAGAGCTACAAGAGATGGAGGGACAGGCGGAATCAATGGTGTAAACTTGGTGGATTTGCAGAGAACGTGGAGTGGCTTATATAAGAGGAGCAGGGGAATGAGAATTTGTCAGGGAATGGCAGAGAACATGCCATGGATCCATCGGCATCCCAGTGCACGCTAGGCTGCTAGCGAAGCTCACATGCAATATGATGCCAACAAGGAATTGCGCGTTAATTAAATTGGACGACTTATTGGTGCATGCATGCGCGTGCAGCATGGCATGGCATTTTGTACGTCTCTCCTGACGATCAAGTGGGCGATGTCCTCAAGTGGGAGGATAATACATTCCATGCATGCTCCATAATCCGTAGCTCCGTGCTCGCCGGCTTGAGATGGAGCTAATTGGACGATCGACAGCTTAGTATCCATGGCATACGCCGTTAAACTATAGTATTTTGGGATGAACTCGCATGGCTTAAATTATGGTCGTCTCTCTCGTGTGTGGGATAACTGATTAGCAGCAGATTCTTGGAGCGGAGGGAACTCGGGGCCACATGAGGCCATGAGGGCCAGCGGTGTCCGCACATGAACGATGGCCTGGAGGTGGATAAACTAGACGAAGTACGTGCTTATCATCTCACCGTGTACGTACGTTGGTTGGCAGATGCCTAATCATTCTCAATCTGGCTGAAAGAGTCAGCGGTTTAGTGCCTGGACTTGGCCTAGTTGACGGCATTGTTTAGAGGAAATTAAAGAGCTGACCAGGTCGTTCACACTACACAGACAATTAGACGGAGTGACAAGCAGAGGAAATTTGTTTATTTTGACAGAGTTTGGTACCATTCCTGATGGTTATGCACTACCGGAACAGGGCTCTAAGCCGACAGCCAAATGTATGCCGACGGCCACCGTCGGCCTAAACCGAGATATGCCGACAGCTAGGTCCTGGCCGTCGGCGTATAATGGCCGTCCGGCTATCCCCGTCTACGCCGACAGCAGCCGTCGGCACATAGCGGCCGTCGGCTTATCCCGGGCTACGCCTACAGCTGCCGTCGGCATATAGAGGCCGTCGGCATAGATGCGGGCCCGCCGACAACACTCATCACGGCCGGCTAACGACGTCAAATCTATGCCGACGGCCGTGACGGGTGGCCGTCGGCATAGATACGGGTGACACGTCACCGATCCAGAGCGCACCGACCAGCACATATGCCGACGGCAGCCGTCGGCATAGCTGACACGTCACCGATCCGCGGCGCTGTCCATCTGCCCTGGCCACAGCTGTGCCGACGGCTTTGCCGTCGGCATAGTTTTTTTTTTCTTTTTTTCTTTTTCCCATATAGTACTATTATTATTATTATTATTAAGCATACAGTATGTGTTAATATGCATACATATAGATTGTGTTAATAAGCATACATATAGTATGTGTTAATAAGCATATCATATGTGTTAATAAGCATACATATAGTTTTCTTTTCTTTTTCTTCATTGTTTTCTTTATTATTATTATTTAACTAACTTACATACAGTATGTGTTAATAAGCATACATACATTATTTTTCGGTTCTGTACAGAGCGGTGTGACCCCCCTCACGAACGGTGTCGCCGCCAGCCGGCAACTGGAATGGGGAACAACCGCATCGGGTCTATACGAAGGGGACTTTGCTCCAAGTGTTCATATATATCGGATGACCTACCACAATCAAATGGTGTTATGCCATGTCCGAAGAGGCGGCACGCATCTCCGGGGTGTGGCCCCGTCACGGACGGCGCCGCCGCCGGCACCTGGAGGGGGGGAACGGACGCGTCGGGTCTACATGGAGTGGATGTATCTGTGGGTTTGGCCCGGATGTTGCTCCCGGGTGTCCTTATGGGCGGACCTGACACAACCGGGTGGTGTTGTGGCATGTCCGAAGAGGCCGCACGCGTCTCCGGTGCGTGCCCCCCCCCCACGGACGGCGCCGCCGCCGGCACCTGGAGGGGGGAAACTACCGCATCGGGTCTACACGGAGTGGATTTAGCTGTGGGTTTGGCCCAGATGTTGCTCCCCGTTGTCCCTCTGGGCCGACCCGACACAACCGGGTGGAGAGGTCCACTGGTCAAAGCCCATCCGTGCAAAGTCAAAGGGCTAGATCCCGTGGTCAACCACTCCAGGGTTAGGCGGGACGGGGGCCCTGGGGGGTAGCAATG